CCGAGGCCCCCTCGAGGCGTGCCGAGGAGGGACCCCCGGGCCCGGCCCGGCTGGGGCGAGGTGACCGCTATTCCCGCCGCCGCCCCCGCGGAGAAGTTGCCTATTCGCGTCCTGCGTCTGTTTGCAGGGGTGGAGGAGGGTGGGCTGGGGCAGGCTGCTGCTCCGGTAGGGGGCGGGGGGCGCGCTCGCCGCCCCTCCGCCCCCTTCTTACGCACTAGCGCTTGCTTGCCCCGAAAATTGGAACCCTAGAGGTGGCCAGCAACCCCGCAGCCAAGTTTTGTGCTTTATTAGATTGCATGTTAGAGCTCAGAAAAAAAGAAAAAAAAGGAATCTGTTTCCTTCACGGTATTTATTTCCTTCGCTGTTGAGAACTAACGGAGTCCGTTGCTCCCAAATTTCCAGGGACATGCTTGTCAGATGTGCAGAGGGTTGGCATCTACTTGGTTTTTAAAAAGACGTTATTAGAAAATCCCCCTGACTAGTGAGATAATTGAAATTTGAGTTTGTTTGCAGCTTCAGTTTTATTTGATCCAATTAAAAATACATAAGCAGGCACTTATATTTGTGTACATAAAGTATTCCTAGTCCTAGTTATGACTAATGTGACTGTGGTTTCAGTAGTGCGGGATCTAATAAGGCAGTATAATTCAATTTTGAGCTTGTAGGCCCGTGTTCTCCAAATTAGGGTTTATGGACCATTAGTAATCTGGCCAAGGTTTCTAGTGAATCCTTGGCATCTGCGCGTGTGTGTGTGTGTGTGTGTGTGTGTGTGTGTGTTGTGTGTGTTGTGTGCGCGCGCGCGTGTGTGTGTGTGTGTGTGTGTGTGCATGTGCGTGCTCGTGCCTTATTCCCATTCACCCCCTAGCTCCCTAATCAACTGCTCATTTCTGGTGTAATAAATCCATGAGCAGAGAAAATAAATATTTTAAATATTTACAGTTTTCACGGTGTCTGGAATATTGCCTGAGATTTGATTATTGATTCTCACATGGTATATACGAATACCATCCCAAGAGGCCCCAAATTTCGACACACTTTATCTGGATATGCTTGTGGCTCTTGGAGAAATTCTGACAGAGACCACTGTACTGTGCTCCTAAGGCTAAGAGCTAGCTGTCTGCCTTACTGGGGATCTGTACCCGTTGATGTGCATGGCAAAGTATGATGGTAAGCCAAATTGGAAGATCAGATTAGTAGCTTTAGAGAGATAGTTTTGTGAACTTTGTGGCTATCTGGCAATAGAAAGAAGGTTTGAGATCCACGTATGATAAAAAGATTAGGCATGATTTTGTCAAGTAACATGGTTTATGCCAACCAGAGCAGGTGGTTTCGTGTAAGCAATGCATGACTGTAACCAAAGGCCTGGGAAAGTGTTGTGGTAAATTAATTAATTTTGGAGTTCTTTCTGTCCCAGGGCAGATTTCATAAATGAATTATGACTTCTCTTGTATCTAAACTTTATTCTTGATTAATGGCATATTAAAAACTAACCTTTTACAGATCTTTTTTTTTTTTTTTTTTTTTTGCTAGCCTTAGACCCTCCCTTATGGTAACCAGACTATGATACTGTTCTTGGTGTAATCTGACCGTGGGCAAAATAAATCTATCTATTGTGAAATTAGAGTTGCGTCTCAGTGTGACATCACATTCTCTTGGAGTTATGTCTTTTATACTGCAGTTATTTTTTTGCCTCTCACACTAGGTCTTCTGTTATAGCACCGCTGTACACTTTTTACCACAACTTTTTTCTTTTTACCACAACTTCTTGATATTCTATATCTTTAATTATTTTTGTGATTTATTATTAGTATAGTTGGAGCTTCTCCGAACTCATCAGCGTGTTACTTCAGGCAAACCACACGAGAACTTGAAAGACGTGAAGTGGAAGAGCCACAGTTAACGCTGCTGCATTTCTGGAAGATCCCTTAGCTGTGTTTTGTACTTATTGATTTGCTTTTCTTATAACTATTTAAAATGCCAAAGAAAATTTGAAGCAGGATAGTATCTCTTTAGAAATCAGATCTTATTTGAGATATTTGCCATAATATTGCAGAAAACTTCTCAGAAACAATAGGCCCTTGGGTTACTGTGTCTTGGAGATATCTTCTTTGATTTATATAAGTTTCCAAGAAATTTTTTTGGTTTTCTTGGAGGTATGGCCTTGCCCTAAGCAAAGTTTTTGGTTATGTCTTCCTGTGTTAAACCATGAGGAAAAAGAGAGTTCCACACCTCACTCAGGCTTGATTATCAGTGTAGGTGCCAGCGTTTTTCAACGTTCATGGAAAGACTATGTATTGGTAATGACCAAATGGACTACACATGTTCTGAACCCCTTTGAACAGATTTTAGGATTTTACTTGCAACAATATCCTTGGTATAGAGCAATGACAGTGTCTAAATCAACTGAGGAGACTGCTCTCATCCCCTTCTTTCCCTCTTCTCACCCCGGTATAGCAAGATTTGTAATAATTTTATTTTTAATAAATATTTAGTGGTTCTCTTTATACTTCCATCCCTCACACAAAGCTTTAATTTAATACAGGTGGAAAACTGCAGTGAATTCTGTGGGACTGCCTGCATTCCCCTGTACCAGGTCATATTGAAAACTCTTTAAAATACATAAAATAATAGCTAAAACTTAGATATCTCTGTTCCCTACAGAACATTTTTGTTTGCAATGGAATGTGACATACTTGCAAGGGAAGCAAAAAGAACTATCATTGATTGAATGCCTGGTGTGTGCCAAGCACTCAGCCAGGCACTGGGGCTACAGAGATGAAAAAATATCCCTGTTTCCATAGCCACTCTCAGCGAGATGGGTCTGAAGCTCAGAGAAATGAAGTAGCTTATTCAAGGCCATAAAACTAGTAAATGGTAGAGTCAGAATTTGAATCCAGATTTATCGTAAATCCAAAGCACATAGTCTTTTCACCATACAGCTCTCTCTCTCATTAAAGATTTCTTAAAAAGCTAGGATGTGCGGTCTTGATTTAGTAGTATGATGCTAGTTAACAAACACACTTCTCCTAACTTCTACACACGCTTCCCTATTCTCCATTTCAAGGATTTGTCGCTGAAGAGCAGGATTGGAATATAGTGAGGTCATCCTTCTTCCCCCTTGTTTCCATGGTGTAGGAACTGTCTTCTTAGGGCATTTAGGAGTTCAGACGTAGCCTGGTACAGTATTAACTGTGAAGTACACAGGGAGAGTGCGGCCACTTTTTGCTTGCCAAAATACTTTTCTTTAGTTCATTTTGTGGAAGTGTTGATACCCTCATGAGAAATTCTGTTACTTCCATAAAAATCCTGAAGGTAGTAAAATGGAGTTATTTAAAAATATCCTTCCCCGTTCCTGTTTCGCAAGTAATCATTTCTGTAAAATCCAGAGAAAAATGTTTATTTGCCTGTAGTACCTGGATTTGTTGGGTTTTATTTATTATTTGCATCCTCCCACTTTTATTCTTTATGTCATTTGCCATCATCGCTCTATTCTGTGACCTTTAGAATTTGTGGTGGTGTATATGACTTAATTTAAATAGCTCCTACTTTAAGGAATCAAGGATTTTTTTTTTTAATTGATGAATGTTTGTTTGTTTATAATCGTAATGAAGGACTTAAAAAGTTTATCAAGGAAAAGACTGATTTTTCAGCAGACTTCCATAGTGCTTTTATCTGCTAGCTATTTCAGAAGAACTTAATACTAAGACAATATTTGAAAATTTCAGGAAAACTGGGAAGCGGAATTTTAGGATAACTTCAAGATGCGAACCCAAACATAAATAGAAAGTGATGGATACATGCTTGAATTTTCTAATTAAGTAAAAGGAGATTTCTATTTTTCTACCCTTTAATTAAAGTTTTTCTTGTATTGGGGGCATTCACTGAACTTATTTAAGGAATCAATTTATTATATTATCAGTAGTTACATTTTAAATTTTGGGTTTTTTTGTACACCATATGCCCAAACACGCTTTGCTTTTGGAGTCTGTATTTTTTTATTATCAGATTGTCTTTATGTACAAGGACATGCTTAAGGTTAGAAGAAGGTCTTAGTGCTGTAGAAACATTGACCTTTAGTTCCTACCTATATAGGTTGAGGCTTCTTGGGATTCATGGACTTACAGGAAGTCTGTGGCTGGTGGTGAACTCCCTAAAATAGTATTTAACATTTTGATTGTGTATGTATTTTTATGGGAAGAGAATCTTGCTTTTTATGATTCTCAAAGAGATCTGTGACTCCCCTCAGGGTTCTCCCCGCCTTGAAAAAAGGGGGGGAGACCAGCAAACACACGCTTTACCAAACCCATTGCCATAGAGTCAATTCTTACTCATAGCGACTCTATAGGACGGAGTAGAACTGCACCATAGGGTTTCTAAGGCTGTAATCTTTAGGGAAACAGACTGCCACATCTTTCTCCTGAGGACCGGCTGGTGGGTTAGAACCACTGACCTTTCAGTTAGCAACCTAGTGCTTACTTGACTACTGCCCCACCAGGGCTCCTCCTGACACACACATTAAGGATCATTAATTCTGGCATTGCAAAA